CACACACGCACGCACGCACACGTACGCACGTTCATGCACACACGCACGCACGCACACGCACGCATCGCACGAACGCACATGTACGCACGGATCGTTGCACGCACGTTCATGCACAACCCGCACGTCAGCGCTACACGGTACGCACGTTTCACTACACACACGCACGCACGGTCATGCACACACGCACGCACGTACACGTACGCACGTTCATGCACACACGCACGCACGCACACGTACGCACGTTCATGCACACACGCACGCACGCACACGTACGCACGTTCATGCACACACGCACGCACGCACGCGTACGCACGTTCATGCACACACGCACGCACGCACACGTACGCACGTACGCAGCAACTCACGGATACGTACTCACTCATCATCCGTGTACATCCGGGTACTAGGTAGCAAGTGGGTCGCACGCACACACGCACGCACGCACGCACGCACGCACGCACAGATGCGAACACCCGCTCTCGGAAGTTCCCTGGAAGTACTATGCCGCATCGGGCAAGTTACCCCTTCACATCAAATTTAAGACAAGAACTCATATCTACACTCTCTGGTGAATTAATTACGTATTTACATATAAGCGGCGATGAAAAGCGAAGAAATTGTATTTACTAGCAAAGATAATAGCATAGAGTACTGTAACCGACGCTGAATTCATTATCCAAACGTAACCACATAAAGATTCGACTGTACGCAAACTGTTTTCAGAAAGGATGGTGATTATATCTGTAGATATTAATGTTTACTTTTGCCATTAAAACCCGTTTTCCGGCTTGCGGGGAACGCCCGCGTACAGCGGCGGAACATCGGCCTTGATTTAAATAAGAAGAAGTTCATTGTATAGTTGATTCTTCCCAGGCAGATTACAATTACGCTTTAAACACATCCGCGTGTTTCTATGCGGGCATCTACGCATGTAGGCTGTCTACAAGAACTTCCAGAAATAGCGTTTACTTTTCTGTCTGATAGTTAAGGTGAAAAGTAAAGCCAGGTAGAAGTCAGTCTTGCGGTTGGGGTAAAGATTAGTCTTTGGGTAACTTGGGTTTAGGTAGGGTTCGTATTTAGGTGGAAGAGGAAGAGGAGCACGATGGGAAAGGTGGTTTGAGAGAGGGAAGGTGTGGCATCGCTCGCATCGCCACCACACTTCCCTGAAGCGCACTGCAAACTGAAGGCATCACTGCTTTTTGATGTTGTGTCATTGCTTGGCTGAGTCTGTCGGTGTTGGAAATATTGTAGGTCGCGACGAGATGGTAGGCTGGCGTAGAGCAGCCAAACCACTCTATGAAGAGACGCAAAGCTAATTTTGTGGTTAGGGTAAGGTTTAAGGACAGGAAGTAAACTGAAATAAGAAAAGAGAAGAGAGAGAGAGAGAAGGGACAGAGAGAGATTAATATATATATATATATATATATATATATATATATATACACACATAATAAATAATGAAAATTTTACATTTAAAACATTATTAAATTATTGTACCATCCTCTTTTGTCTGAATATAATTCGATTATTTTCTCGCAGACGCCTGACGCATACAACTAGCGACACGGCTGACAAGTATACCACAACAAGATTGTTATCATGCGCTGGCAATAGGTTCGGCATACTAACGCGTACATAGGCCGTGCCACACCGTATCCTGCACCGGCCAAAACGTCAAGCCAACCGCCCGACACCACTCACACAGGTGAGACATCGAAGCGATGCGTCTAATTCCATTGTGGAGCGCCAGTAGCAGTGCTCATTAAAGGAGGAAACGGACCTCTCCGTGCGCAGCACAAGCACGCGACGCACGCAGACCTCACAAGCAGCACGGACCGTGTCTAATGACTGGTCGACTGGACGTCAAAATTTTTTTTCCCCACTTGAGTTCCGGAACTAAGCGTCAATCAGCGCACTCCAGTTCAGCTTTCGACTTCCCTCGAAGTCAACAATGTAAAATGTATACCCACTATCCTAACGCCGACTAATGGAACCCTTAACCTAACCCTAACCAGTAACCCGAACCGAACCCTAACACTAACTAATAAATCCAACTATAATATATAAGCACTCATTTATGTACAAAACACTTATCTATGTTTGGGTCGCGAATCTGCATGGAAAAAAATTTTCGGCGCCTGGACGGCTCGTTAGAAACTTTTGATTTAAATATTTATTATCTAATGTTTAAAAATTTGCGCCACGTTTGCCAGCAAACACCTTATACGCAAAAATGATCAACATTCAAGCTTTAGTTTGTGTTCGTAACTAGTTATGATACTGCTAATAACGGAGCCCTGGTTAATAGTCAGTATTAGTTACTGATTTAAGGAAATACGCACGCACGCCAGCGCGCGCGTCGCAGCAGCAGACACACCCTGACACACAACAGGCGTACCAGTGCACGCGCAGCCAACAACACAACACACACACACACACACACACACACAACACATAACACACACGACACCATACACCACACACACAACACACACACACACACAACACACACACATACACAACTCACACGCATACACATCACCACACACACACACATCCACAGCACACACACACACACACACACACAACACACACACACCAAAGTATACGCTGCGCCACGCACACACAAACACACACGTGCACGCACGCATGCACGCATGCACGGCACCCCGTCCACTCCTGCAGCATCCACGCACGCTCGACAATACGCGGGGCGTGCATGCTCATTCACGCACGAATACATATTAACTCCATTAGGCATGTTTTGACACGATGCACACAATAAGCATTGACACACGGCTATCCCATTCACTCAGCAGGTCTTCGCAGCAACAAGACCCGTCATCTCTGCGCACGCCACCCACGCTAGATACACCGACCGTCTACCTGCACGTGGTGAAAGGCAAGGACCCAACAGTAGCTCCCTCTGGTGAGCTAGAAGTGGGACAGCCAGCTACCCTTGTCATTAGCTATGACAACGACGGTGAGTTGGTTAAAGTCGTTGCACAACGTTGCTTCGAAGTACAGTAGGGTTAACATGGCCGAGTCCATTTCCTGTAATTACCGTATACGTAAACTCGAAAACTACATACAGTATCTGAAAAGTTACAGTACGCGCGGCCATACACAGACACACACACACGACACCACACCACACACGACACACACCACACACACACACCAGCACACACACACACACGCGCACACATACAACACACACACACCGGACAAAGCACATCATCATCACATCACATTACACACACATTATCACGCACACACAGCACATCCACACACACACACACACACACACATTACACACACACAGTCAGCACACACCCACACACACACACACACACGACACCACACACACACACACACCAATGCACACACACAATCACACACACACACACACACACAACACACACAGACACACAACGCACACACACACACACACACACACACCATTCACACACACACACGCACACAACACACGAACAGCACACACACACACACACCACACACGTACACACATACCCCCACCCCTCCCAACACACACGAACAAACCCCCACCAACCACCATGCCACCGCCAAACCACACCAACCACCACCACAAACACACATGAGCACACCCGTCTTCATACCCTCGACTGTCAAGTAGCTCTCTATTTCTTCCCACATTTAGACTGTACTTACGTTCGTTGCAAGTGAGTAACTGTCGTGGCGGCACGATGGAGCCTACCAGAGGCTGATCTGATTCGATGAATGACTGGGTGAGTGTCAACATATGACTGGTCGATTCATCAAATTGCAATGAGCCATACGTGTAATTTTCCGACCAATATCTCTCAACATGTTTTAATTCGCTGTCGTCGTCCGTTCAATTATTGTCACGTGTCTGCTGATTTATCTCAGTCATTTGTTATTCTGTACTCTAACATAGTTTATAGCCTATTCATCATTATGCTGGTAATCACTTTAAGTGCTATTTAAATCGGTGCTATGGATCTCATTTTATCAATTACCCTATTGTGATCACCTAATCAGCTAATATGTGCGATTGTTAGATCCATATTATTTTGTTACTCATTAATCATCCCAATTAGTGCTATTACTGCGGGAGCTTACAACATGGCGTGATATTTGCGCCGAATGATTTGTCTAGCTCTATTTCTTGCAAGCAGATTAGCAGGCTAGCGCTCGTAGACTAGCCCAGGACGTTAGCACACAAGTATGCTAACGCTGGTAAGTTGAATGCATATGATTATGACATCTGATAGTAAACGCCATGTGTCTCAGCTCGCCAGGATGAGGATAAGTAACAATGATGATAATCCCCCAAGATTTATATCGCTTCTGTGTTTGTAAACAGAATAAGTCATACTTGATATCGGCTTATTTATGTGTGGCAAAAGAATAAGTTCTAACTTATATCGCTTATTGTGTTGTGTAAAAGATAAGTAAAAGCTTATATTAGCTTATTATGTTGGTGTAAAAGATAAGTAAACTTTATATTCGCTTATTACGTTGGTAAAAGATAACTGAAACTTTATTTATCGCTTATGTGGGTAAAAGAAATATAACTTATTTATCGCTTTGTGTTGTGTTAGGGGACTAAGTCAATTAAGAGACTCTGAAGGACCAACAACAGAAAGATACTTGCTAACGCGCCTTTCAGCGGGCTCCAGTGTTCCCGACCGGCAGATACCGTTTACATGTTCAATGTGATGTCAACGTTTGTTACCAGCAATGCTACGTGAGTATGCGTTACGATTCACTTTTACTATAGCTCATTGACCCAACACCATGCTGTTTCTCCGTCCCACCCTTAGCGTCTGTTTTCTTGCTGCTAAAGGCCAAATCTCTAATTATTTTCTCATCTTTTTCTCTCATTCGCTGCCACGCTCATCTAACCCCTCTCTCACTCTGTTTCACTCGCACGCACGCAACGCACGTACACACAGCAACACACACACACATCACACACACACACACACGCACACACATCACACACACACCCGCCACACACACTCACACACGGCTCACTTTTCCCCTATGCTCGCGCTCTCCATCACTGCACTCGATCTCTATCTCCCCTGCGTAAGTACTACGTCGTGCGTACAGCCAGTTGTCATTGCATTTGCATATGATATGTTTGTTTCCAAGCCCTCTGCTCCCAAGTGTCGCAGCCAAACAGAGCGATTCGGCTCGTGCGGTAGAATTCTGTAGAAAGCTGAAGGACGATGAAGGCAGAGAATTCATCGGCGTGCTGGAGATAAGGATGCCTTCAGAGGATGGCAGGCACGCTTCGTAAGAAAGCACGAGTGTCGTTATCCACACGTCTGTTCGGCGACGTTTCAAGCCTTCGCTGATCGTAGACAACACGATCTACGGTGAGTGTGTGAGCTTGTAACGACGCTAGTGGCGGCTTAGATTCATTATTAAGCCGTGGCGTGGTGTGTGTGCTTCGCGTTGCGTTTACTTGCGTGTAATGTGTACGGCGTGCTTATGTGCCTGCTGTGCGCGTGTGGTGGTCGTGTGCGTGCGCATGTGTGTGTGTGTGTGTGTGTGTGTGTGTGTGTGTGTGTTGGTCGTGTGTGTGTGTGTGTGTGTGTGTGTGTGTGTGTGTGTGTGTGTGTGCGTGTGTGTGCGCGTGTGGCGTGCGTGTGTGTGTGTGCGTTTCTATCGTTCGTGTCTCTTGTCGAGTGCGTCCGGCGATTCGCAAGTTGTGATACTCTAACGAGACAAACACTTCTCTCTGACAAGCAGGCTCTTCACGGCGCCACTTCGCAACACAGACACAGGCGCATGCTTGGCAATCAGTAGATCCAGCCACGTTCGTGATCACTTTTCGCCGGGCTCGGCTTGCTACTGATGCATGTGCCATCGTGCATCATCTCAACTGCTGGAGAGGCACAGTGGACTCGGAGTATTGATTACCTTTCGCACGCAAGAAGCTTTACAGGCAAATGCTAATGTCATGATTTTACTGAGCTGAACATGTTTAATTACGGTACGAATTACTGTCGTTAAGTGCGACGTACTTGTATGTGCGTGGCACACGGCGCGCCTTCATTACGCTCAACGCGCGCGCCGCGCGTGTAAGAAGCAGTACCTTTCTATATTTGACATAGCACACTCAACATCGATTCTGTACGTAACAGTGTAGATATATTGTATATAAGAATACACAGATAAATGTGAGGTGTACGCGTCTAACTACAGCAGGCCAACATGCAGTGTAATCAAGATGAAACAACCGTTTCCGAACGCCAAAATATATAAAAGTAATAGATGGGTTGGCTTTGTATACAATCAAACATGTATATTATATTTTTATACAGATAGTTTCCGCGCTCAGATAGCCCGCTGCTTCTAAGCTTAATTAATTAATATCTATAGTATGGTTTATATATTAGAACGTTTGCAGGCAAATACTGCTAGCTATATCTACCTATCTGACTCTTTATACTTAGTATCATTCCCAACTGTTATTTACCGCTATAGATGCAGACTCCTAACAAAACACTACCCTATTGTATCACCTGTGAAAACGTTCTTAATGAAGTATTAAGTTACCTTTTGTAATCAGCTATCTGACTTAGGGGACCATTGTTCTAAACGATCATGTCATACCAGTATGAAGAAGAACAGAATTACTAGCAAATTGTTTTTTTATTGTTGAGAGATTTTATATAATGTTTTTTTTTTATTATTTGTTCGTCAATATTTGTTATTAATTTGCTGATGCATTAATTGATTTATGTTGTAATCAGTAAACAGGAACTATTCCGTGCCTCTATTGGTTACACACCATGCACAGCATGTGTCTAGGGTGTGGCGTGTGCGCGTGTGGTCTGCGTGTGTGCGCGGTGTGCGTGTGGTGCGTGTGTTGGCGTGTGTGTGTGCGTGTGCGTGCGTGGCGTGCGGTGCGCTGTAAAAACTATAATTTTTGATAATATGGCAGAATGTGTTCGGCTAAGGCAACTTATAAATAACTCGTAATCATTTGTATGTAATAGGTATGATCTATCAAAGTAAAAAGGTTGTATCGCCATACCTTCCGTGTTTGAGGCTTTTTCTAATGGAAGGCAGCGATCATGCGGTACACACGCAACAATTGTGTTGTTGGAAAAGTTTTACCTTATCTACATAATATGCACAGCACACGCACGCACAACAGCGCGTGCGCACCCACGACACGCCTATCACTTCTCTCACACCGCAGCCGCGCACAGCCACCACGACACACACCACCACAATACACACGCACACCGCACCGCAGGGTGTCACCCCCTCACCACACGCGGCGCATGGCTATACCCAACCACTTCTATACTGCGACAACGAAAATCATATTTTCCACAATCCTTACAGGCTCGATTACTCGCAACTCATCTCTCACCAGCGAGACAACCGGCGAACGGCGCCTGTCTACCCGTTTGCAGTGGCACATGTAGCCATGCCGCACGACCGGTAGGTACATGGCTCTCCTGTTCTCCACGTCAACACGTTGGGTTTCACTCCGTCAACGCCACCTCCGCCCGCCAACCCATGCTCTAACACCAACAACGCGCCCCCACCAACGCGCCACCACCCGCACCTTCGCGCACCCGTCCACCAACAACACTAACTACGCACCTGCTCCTCCTCTTCCCTTCTGTACTACACACTTCCCCGGAATTTGTTCCAATCCGAACCACGCCGTATAAACAGTCTCGACAACCCCGCGCACGCCTCGTCGTCGCCCGCTACCACCACCACTAAACACACGCACACACACCCCACACACACACGCACACACACAACACACACGCAGCACACACGCACACACACACACACACACGCCAACACACGCACACACACACACACACACACACACAAACACACACACACCGCGCCCTCACGAACACACCTCACGCACACACACGCACACACACGCACACAACACACAAACACCACAAGCGCACATCACGCACACACACAACACCAGCACACACACCACACACACACAACACACGCACGCACACCAACGCACACGCATACCGCACACGCACACCACACGCAACACCAGCACCACACACACATACAGCAGCACACACACACACACACACACACACAGCACACACCACCAACACACACAAGCACACCACACACCAACGCACACACACACACACACACAAGCACACACACACACACACACACACACAGCACCGCAAAGAATGCATTCGTTTAACATAGGACGCCGCCTTGTGACGCGCTAAATTACACGCAATTAGAATTCGGAAAAGGAATGTGTGAAATCTTTACAACCGGTGTGCATGCACGCATCGGGAAATCTCCGCGCTTGAGCGTCATCATTGCACATCTCATTTTCATCATCATATATCATCATCATCATCATGCATCATCATCATCTTATCATCAATCTATCATCATCATCATCATCATCACATGCCAGTCCTCCTCTTCCTTCCCCTCCTCCTTCTCCTGCACCTCTTCCTCCTCATCCATCTCCTCCTCATCCTCCTCCTCCTCATCAACATCATTACCATCATCATCATCATCATCGTCAACATAATCATCATCATCATCATCATCATCATAACGACTTCATCATTCATCTCTTTATGCTACACGCCGCTGAGAGATGAGCCGCTGGGCTTCCGTGTCTTACTGCGATACAAAGTAACATTCTAAATATTTATGTATGGCGCGCCCGCCCCGGTGAAATGGAGAACTCAGAAGTGTTTGAGACGGCCGAGGCACGTGGAGGCGTACGCGAGCTTTATACTCGTAGTTTTTCCTTGCCGTTCTTCCTACTGATTTACTGGCTTCGATCGTTCTCTGCACGTTTTTCACGCGGCAAAATAAAAGCCGTGAAATACATACGCGTTAGGCAAGTCGCTACTTGAGACACTCTCCATTCCGGGTTCCCTCTCTGGGTATCGGCTCCCCCATTGCCTTCCCCCGCCTCTCTCTCAAACACGCAGGATATCGACCTGAAATGTTAGCTTGCCTAATGCACTTTTCTCCATCTCACGAATTCCGAGATTCGAAGTGCGTTCGTTCACACTTTATTGCAGCTCCGCTCGTGCATGGTTGTCGCTTCACTACGTGATATCAAGCGCTAATAATACACATACATTAGTATAACAAAAACTGTAATAACATTTATATATTAATGCATCACATGACTTTGCAATCTACTTGGCAAATATGAAGTGAATAAGACAAAGTTTCTTAAACGAACAATTTCAATTTGTATTAAACTGTCTACGTCACGAATTTCTAGCACCAGCAAGTAGTATATTTGTGTGTTATTTGTACAAAATAAAATGTATGAAAATACAATTAGTGTTTCTGTTTACTTTTCATGCTTATATACCTTTTTTATACTCCCTAATTTGCCGGTGCATTCGATGTAACAAAACGCTCGACACAAACACAACCGCCATTAATTCGAAACTCTTGCGTGGCGTCCTGACGCAGGAGATTCGTGACGTGAACACAATGCGTTATAATAACAATGCGTCGCGCAAGCAATAGTGCCCGCTCAGGCGGGCACTATTGCTTCATAGTACCTGCGACGTTATCCAATGGAATTTCAACGATTTATCACGTGATGCACTAAAACAGAATATGTGTATTTATAATAGATGCATTATTAACTTTTGGTGATATCGTAATGTTATTTTTATCTTGATCGCACACAGTGATACTGCGCGTGGCAGGTCTCTGAACATCAGCTCAATCTTTAGAGATACTGGTGATTCCCTCGATACAGCATTCTCGTAAGTTTCTCGATGCATTCCTAGCAATAATAGCGACCCCCACCCCTCGGTAGCGCAGTTTATCGCTGTCTCACGGCAACACCTCTCCCGATGGATTAATGTTTTACTCATGTGTAACTGCATAGTAGAATGCTAACACGCATGTCGGAAGCAAGTATTTTTTCCCGAGGATTGACACGTATTTGATAATGGTTTAATTAATTGAGCAATGCAGTTCTGACCAATACATAAAAAAGAATAAGTAGCTATTGCTGTATATATGTAGAAAGAGGAATTGTTAATAATTGTTAAGTTAATTCGGACACTGAATAATTGTATGAAACTATGTCTGTATGAAATTATATATGTGACACGCGCTCACACACTCGCACGACGGGACACACACACACACACACACACACACACACACACACACACACACACACACACACAGACACACACACACAC